CCACATGCTCCCTCACCCCACACACCACACCACACCTATCCACCCCCCAAAGACACACCCACACCCTCCCCCACACCCCACATACTCACACACCCACAGCCCCTACAAACCTATTCCCCCACACACAATATACAAGAGTAAGACTTCATTTTAAGCTATTGTGCAATCACCTTTATGTACACTACACAGACACATGTAAACCAGGACAAAAATATTTTTTGAAATTATGTTAATGAATGTTTTAGATATTCGCCTTTTAGAATATAATTTGGTATTTTTCTGGTTCCGTGATAGCAAAACCCCTTGCTGAAAGGAGTACTTCCAGGGGGAAGGGGAGGGACTTCCATTGGCAAAGGTCTGGGTTTAGAGGGTGGGACTTCCAGTCACAAGTTGGCAGCCAGGGGTGGGGCACCTGTCAAGAGGCAAGGCTACACATGCGGCCCTTGACAGCTTGCCAAAACTCAGTAAGCAGCCCTCCACCCAAAATAATTGCCTACCCCTAGGTTATACTGAGTCAGACTAACAGTCCATCTAGTCCAGTATTCTGTCTCCAACACTAGCAGAAATGAATGCTCTAGAGGGAGAGCTTTGAACCAGATATCACTAGAGAGATCTATCCCCTATTTGCTATCCTCCTGGACATCTGCCATTATTGGTTTAGAGATACCAGGGGAAACACCTCCAGCTGTTCTGTTCAATAGTCATTAATAGATCTATAATCCATTAATTTATCCAGTCCCTTTCTGAACCTGGCTGTGCTATCTCTCTCCACCACCTCCTGTAGCAATAAATTCCTATTTTAACTCTGTGTTTCATAAAAAACTACTTTCTCTTGTTACTTTTAAACCTGTCACCTACTAATTTCATCAGGTGCCCCCTAGTTCTAGGGTTCCAAGACTTGGTGAACAACAGTTCCCTGTACATTTGGTCCACGTTTCCTGATTTTATAGACAAATATCATGTCCCCCATCTATCATACAGAATATGCAAGGCTTAGATTCCACATCACACACAATGCATAACAAGAACTTTCCAAAAAAGTATTTTAATAGAGAGTTTAAACACTACTGAGAACACCACAATTCTGCAATAGTCTACTCAAAGTCTACAGTACCTAGGATCATGCCATACAACTTTTATATCTTCTTGTAAACCTTACATACATTTTATACAATCATTGCCATGGAATGGAATGAATAAATGAGAATTGCATGTGGAGGAAGATCCCTCTCCCTGGAGGCTGTGTACGTTTCTCTGGAGGAAGTAAAATTGGTGCAACACAGAACTAGTCTTGCTTTCCAGCCCATTCCCCAGCATCAGAGACTGCTGACAACCAGGCTTTAGGCTTTGCTATACAGAGGCAATAGAGTTCCCCCGCCCCCCCATCACCTCCCTCTTTTTCGCTGTCCTCAGGAAAATCAAGTTTTTTGAGAAGATTTCGCCATTGCTCTCTAAATAGCTGCTTAGAATTAAGAGGTTTCATAGAGGATTATTTCAACTGGATACCAAGGAACTGGGGTCAGCTGACAGGTGCTTGAGAACACTGAGGTCAGAGAAAACTCATTAACTTGTAGGCAAGTATAACAAGGGAAGGAGGAGGTGGCGTCTGCCTCTGTTATGTGCTCAGGGAAAAAGGCAGAATTCCTGCAAACCTCACAAGAGAAGCATCCTCATCTGTGGCCCTGTGGTTGCTGTGGAGGAGGGGAGAGAGAAAGTATGATCACAGGGAGCATTACATTGTGAGAGCAGTGTTTCAGCCAAAAGCAGCTCCTAAAAATTATTGCAGTTGCAACTAGGCTCCACAAATGCCTACTGTGCTTGCAGCAATGCTTGAAAGCAAAACTGAACAAGCAGAAATGTCTGAGCCTGGGAGGAGAGCTGCACAAAAGTGGTATCTGAGAGACAAAGTGGGCTGTGAATAATCAAAGGAGCATTATAACTCAAGAGAGACACCTACATTTATTAGAGGGCAGGGAGCAGCAGTATATAGAGCAAATAGGGCTATGGACTTCAGTGACATTCTGAAGAACCTGTACAGGTACAAATTCCAGGCCATAAAAGTACAAGTGCAACAGTGACTGCAGATTCAAACAGTGCTAGTGAATGCAGAATGCTATAAAATCATAAAAGATGCCCAGGTTTCCAGGACAGCAGTAGTGAATTATTCCAACAGCCTCAATAGAAGCTGGTAGAACGTGGCTTGGAAAAACAATTTTTATACTACAGCGCAGTGTTTCCCAAACCTTCAGGCTCACACCCTGCACTATCACTTCCCCTTCTTCAGCTGCCACTGTTGCTGCTTCCCTTGCTGACAATTACCCCAGGTCAGGGGTCAAAATCATTTTTGGGCACAGTGCCAAAAACACCTGCAACCTCTATTTATAAGATGTTGGCATACCAGGGCAGACAGCAGGGGAGCCACAAGGGGCCCAATTCTCATCGTGGCAGCACAGCCCAAGGCACACATACACCTGCCACCAAACAAAACCCAGGCTGGGGCTCCACAGACCCCAGTACATCTGCTTATAGTCTCTTGGATGCCTGCCACAGACAGCATGGGCTGTGGGCAGGCCGCTGCTGCCCACCACACAGCCTGAGCTGCTCACAGTGTGGAGGCTACAAGCAGCTGCACCAGGGCCCACAGAGCCCTGGCCCAGCTAGTTGCTGGTGGTGGGTGTACACGCACCTTGAGGTGGATGGCAGGGAAGGGGTCTGGGCTGCTCTGCCACAACATCCACCCCGAGGTATGCATGCCAAGCAAAATGCCTTTGCATGCCATGCTCTGGTATGTGTGGCAGGGGTTGCCTAATCCTGCTCCAGGTGCTGATCACCATTGATTTTCTCTTGTCAGCAGCAATTGCTGGCAGGGGAATCAGTGGGGATGAGGGAGGTAGCAGCAGCAGCTAATAGAAAAGCATGAGAAGTATAGGGGGGTGCCACTGATTGGTGTCATGATTGGCATGCATCCCAGTTTGGGAGATGCTGCCACAAGGAACTGATCCTTGGACCAACTCATTCTGAAGCGAGCAAGAGGAGAAGCTAGTTTTCACTTGGGTTGGACATGGAGGTACTTTTGGCACTTAGGTCTCAATCTTGAAAAATGCTTAGCCTTTCCTGAGCCTCCTCATCTTCAATGGGTAGCTGTGTTCCGTGCCTCTGTCAGAAGTGGTCATCAGTACACTTGTAGAATGGGTCTCTAAGCTTGAGTGAAATGCTAATTAGCAGTGAGTGCTAAACGGGAGAGAAGCAGTGGGTGTGTGGGGATGGAGAGTACAGTTGGTAAGAAAATAGGAGGAAAAAAGGTGGGGAAAAATAGGAGGAGTGAAAGGAGAGCTCAGATTCTACAATGATGGGGCCACAAAGATGGTAGGGAGATCAACTAGAACAGATAGATTAAATGGATTCTTTTGACTGGCTGTATAACAAGTTGGGGGGAGAAGATAATATAAGAAAAAAAGAAGAGTAATAAAAGGAAAGCATAAAAGAGAAGTCAGAAACAAAGGAAAAGCAAGGAAACTGAGCAAGTAATTGCATCTTATTGACTATATTTTATTGAGTGACCTACGTGCAGAAAGATACCTGCTGGCCCAGTTCTGGTACACTTGAACTGATGCTGCATACGTTCCACATGCAATCCTGCAAGTCAGTAAAATGTCGCAACACATTTATATTACAAGAGCCAAATAAACAGAAGTGGAGATTTATGTATTTCTTCAGGACACAGGACTGCTCCTCTGGTAGACTGAGAACTGCAAGGGCAGGAATGGATCCCCCTGCAAGAGCAGAATTCAGAAGCTACTCTTCGGGTAGTAGGCCTGTCCCACCGACAGAATGCAAAACCCAGGAACCATTCTGCCATCAAAGTACTACGTGAGCGTGCCCATGTGTATGGGGGGGGAGGGCGGAGGAGTACTCATAGCTTAAGGTAGGAGACAGCTTCCCATGCAGTTTTGGCCCCATGCCATTCCTTCCTTTGCACTCTCAAGCCCTGCAGGACACCACAGAATGCCATGGCAAGGCAGAAAGCAAGTCAAAGTCAAGACTATCTGGCTACAGAAGGACTTTTAGATCTCCTTGCCCTCCCTAGCTAAAACGGATCCAGAGCCCTAGCACTTGATCTCAATTTTGGAGAGGTATGCAATACCCAGCAGTCTTGTGTGCTTTTCCTTGATGCATTCCACATACAGCACTTTGGGAGTATGTGATCATTAAAGCTGCTTCAAATTAAATCAAGTGATGATCACCTAGGACTTGAATGGAGAGCCAAAATGCAGCTGTTTTCCTTGCTGTGGAAGCTTAGCTGTTCATCAGATGGTGGATGGTTGATGGCTGTATAGAAGAGGAGGCTGAAGAACACAACAAACAAGAACCACTACGAAGCTGTTGTTCTCTAGAAAATACCACCTCTAAGTAAGCAGACATAGGCCTGAGAAAATCCTTTCTGACAGCCTGGACTGGAATTACAGCTTATAAAACACAGACACTGCACAAAGTCTTTGTTGAGGTAGACAGAGACTCCTGATGACCTTGGGCTGGGAGGAAGTAACATGAAAGGGCTTCTCTGAAACCAGTAGTGGAGCTGGGAACACACAAAGGGTGCCAGAGGAGACCAAAGGGTAGCAGCATGACCAGCTATGGAGCAGCACAAGGAGGTCCTGTCCTCTGCTTAGACAGCAGCATCAGAGCCCATCCTGTTTGATGAGGTCTTTGGTGTTAGTTCATTGTTCTGAATGTTCATCTCTGAGGTGGGTTGTGTCATCTGCTGAAAACGCTGCCCAGGAACAAACAAAAATTACAGGAAGGCTGCAAGCACTTGGGCGATTGTGAGATGGGAAACAAACTAAACAAAAGGAGGAGATGCTTTCACCACTACCTCTCCATGTGGTACATGACTGAAAGTGGAGGTCAGGCCTTCTTCTGCCCAAACTGCAGATATCCCTACTTACATCAAGAGAGCTACCAAGAAGATGGTAACCTCTGGAGATTACTGGAACAAATGGTTCAGTTAAGAAACTTCCATCATTTGCCAGCATAATCAAATCACTTTGGCATTGTTATTTTATATATTCGTCTCTTTTGAATAGAGGCCAGATTAGGCCAACAGTTACCAGAATCTAAAAAAAAAAGAGCTAGTCAAAACATTTTTTAAAAGAAGACACATGCCAGAATCATTGCCATTTCACAGGGTCCAAAATGGGCCTGCTTTCCTTTTTGCATTGACTTTTCCATTACGTTTTAATTAAAATGTTATCCAAGGACTGTAGTAGCTTACACTCTCCACCTGCATGGATTTTTATGCTAGCATTTATTCCCAATCATATCACCCTGACAGGAACAAACTCCAAATAAAGCTAAATAACATCAGTAAACCTGTGTCAAGAATCTACCTGGGACTGCCCATGCATGGAGATGGAGCCCAGAAGAGAGCAATCCCTCCAGGAGAAGTGTACTCATCATTTGAAGAGTGTGGGTTGAAGCCTAGGACTGAATGAACACAGAGACTGAAGTCCCTTCTTAATCTTAGAAAGGGGAACTGAGATAAATCATGTTCACAGAGTAGAGGGGAATCAGGCCTGAACTGAATGTAGGTTGTTAGGTCAAAGGAGGATCCCATCCAGAATCAGAGGAGGAGCTCTCATGCTCAGACACCACAACTGCAGCGTCGTTTGGTGGGTGAAGTGTCTGAAATGTTTATTGAGCCTCTCCTGCAATTTATGTTCTTTTCTATTTACATTCATGCTCAGTAGGATCAAAATGACTTATAATCTTGCCTGTCTGTCAAAACCACTTTATTCTGCATTGGCATCTAATTTTCCTCCAGCCTCAGCTCTATTACAAAATAATCCAGGATCAGTGTGTGTATAAGAGGCCAGGGCTTCACACACATCCTATCTCCCTGCTGCCACCTGCTGTTCACTGATGAAGTGATGGGTGATGGGAGAGTAGTCCTAGATTGACATTTTGCTGAATTGGAAGAGCAGTCAATGCACACCAGGATACTGAGTTTGATAGAGTGCTCAGCGCGAAAGGATGGCAAATAGAAACGAATCACACTGTTATCTTTTCTAATTCCCATTGACTGACACTGTCAATATGCACTGGATGCTGAGAGAACTCCTTGTACTACAAAAAAAAAATCAGTCTGCCGTAGCCCTTCAAGAAAGGGATTCAAAGGAAATATGGATAAATGCTGGGACAGTATCTGAGATCCCACATAATAAAATAGATTCAGGTACTTACTCAACTGCCCTGACAGAAAACCAAAAGAACTACATGAGGAGTTCAAGCACGAATTAAATGCAAGTTCAATGTTCAGTGTCAGTAAAGATATCTTTTAAATTTAACTCGCACATTTCCCCTATTTTTCTTCTAGGTTCCATTATTTATCAACCATACATAAAATCCCAATCAAGTTGATTAGCAATGGCCCCGCCAACCTGATTCCAGCTCTGAAGAGCCTAAATGAAAAGAGCTTGAAGATTAGAAATGTGTCTGTTCTCTCCTACCCCCATACTTTGGTCCCAAACAAAAACATGACCTCCCTTCACAAACCTACCTTTTGCAAAACTCCAGGTATTTTCAATGTTCTCTAAGGGGAGGATGCAGTGGGGACTGTTGTTTTTCATACAAAGCAGAATATGCAACCTTGAGCTATTAATGGAGAGAAGGGTGATGCCCTGTCTGCATTTTCTGGCCCAAAAGAAAATGGTATTGGTCTATTATGGATTCAGCATTCTCTTGCTCTCTTTCTTTCAGTCTTTTTAAAAATGAACTGCAGAAAGAGATCCAACTCCCAGCCTCTTTTTTATCCACAAGACAGATAGCTATAATGCAGGGTTCCCTATCCAATTGACTTCAGACCCAATTTAGTTCAGGGACTGTGTTCATTCTGTTGTTTTCCCTCTGACATCAGACTGCCAGTTAATGACACTCCTAAACAAAGCTGCACAAGAACTGGAACTGTGCTATGTGGTGGGAACCTCCGTGCTTTCAAGAGCTGGCTTTGTTCTGAATTAGGTAAGGAGCCACCTCTCACATTACTCCAGTCCCTTGAGCCAAGTAGATGCTCACAAGTAAGGCAGGGTTTCTGTGGAAGGTGTTGTGCAGGAAGTAGCAAAAAGCTTTTGGAGCAGGTCTGAATAGTGATGGGAGGCATAGATGGGAGGAATGAGGAAGGAGTATCTGGGAAGCCATGATCTACAGAGCACCCTTGGAGTCAATGTCATGGCACAAAGCCTGCTTTCCTGGGTGCTGGGAAGGTTTATAGTAAGCTGGTGGTGGGAAATTCACTTGGGACAAATAACTGAGGAAAATGGGAAGTGCCAGTGCTGCTCTTACCTGCCTGATGGTCCCCTTTGAGATGAAGAAGTAGTACAGCATATACCCTGGAATCAGCAACATAGAAGACAGAGCCATGAGCCAGCCGATGCCCTGCCCCCATGTGGGATAGACATATTTACCCAGAGTCAAAGGGGTCATTTCAGCAACACTGAAGACAAACACACCCTGGGGAAACAAAGCCAGTGGTCACAGCTTAGGATGCCAAAAACAGGAACATTCACTTACTTTGTGCTTCAGTCTAGAGTTCCCTAAGACTTCACTGTGAGACATAAATCAATAAGCCTGTACAAGTGTCTCCCAACCTTTTGTTGGCCCATGGGTAATAATACTGAGCAGTATTGCACTGACCAATGTTACTTTGCTCTCCTTGTCAACCAGGAATAAAAAAAGATATCTGTAGAAAGTAAAATTTCCTGTTGCTATGAGCATGCTGTGGAATCTCCCAGGCAATATTTCACCAAAAGCTGCAGGCTTGAGATCACTGCCCTACAGCAATCTCGACAACACCATTTCCTGCTCCAATCTCTAAACTGTCCATCAAAACAGACCAGTAGCATAACTAAGGGAGGACCAGCAGGACACTAACCCTGGGCACTAATTTAAGGATAGGCATGAAAATAGCAGCTACTGCTGGTCTGGCCATTGCCACCACCAGCCAGGCTGGTGCTGCTGCCCTCTTCCTAGGACACAAAACTGCCCAGTTACCTCTGCAACAGACAACAATTTTACACCATTTTCCTGCTCAGAAACTGGGAATGAAGCAGTTGTGATGAGCCACAGTCAGGGTACCTAAACTCCTCTGCCCCAGCCAATGAGCTGATACCACTCCCTACTGCTGCTTTTGCAAGCAGTACTCCCATATCATTTCCTAAACATTTTAAACACTTCCTTTTACCTGATTCTCAGGAGCTTGGACCATTCCAAATTGTCATTTGAACACCATTCCCTTAAGTATTTCCTGCAGGAAGAGAGCTCCCCAGAGGCCACTGCATTATAGATGATAGTGCCCCAGGCTGAGATAGCTATAAGGGGTGGAGGAAGGGGGGCTGAACATGGAACGGGAGTAGCTGAGAGTTTCCTCCACAGTAATAAGAAAGTTATAAACTGTTCATCACACCCATTAGGGATATGACAAGAAGTAACGGGTTTAGGTTGGATATCAGGAGAAACTTTCTAACTTGAAGGATAGTTAAGCACTGGGATAAGATTGTCTGGGGTGGGTTGTAGAATTTCCATCACTGGAGGTTTTTCAAAAATTGGTTAGACAAATATCCAGCAGGGTTTTTTTTTCATGTATATAGTTGGTCCTTTGCTAAGGGCAGACAATCAGATTAGATGACTCCCTTCCACCCCCATTTTCTATGATTCTGTGACATCAACAGTTCAGCTTCTGGTACATAAAGCAGAATAGTAAAGCATCTTCTGAGGGGTTCAGAAAGGGTCTCCTGATATTTCTTTACCAGTTCATCATCTGCCTAGAATTACCTTGTATTTACAGCCAGGTCCAGATTCAGAGAGCAGTTACCTACACTAAAGACTGAGCACTTCCCTCACCCACAGAACCTCTGCAGCTAGCAGGACCAACTGGATCAGCTTCTACAAATGTCATCACTTTGTTCTCACCAAACAAATGAAGGGAGTGCAGAAAGCCCAGCAGATCTTCCACCAGCCACAAGGTTTGTAGCCAATCATCTCCTCAATGTTCCTGTAAAATCTGTTCACACCTACAAGGAAAAGTTTGAGTTAAACAAGGCAAAAAAATCTTGGCATCGTTCTCATCATCATCACCCAGGGACCAGGATCAATATTCAGGGATCAACTACTGACCAAGAGCATCAGAGAGACAGCAAGGTGAAATTAAAGTGGAGAGCAAGCATTTTGGGGAACAGGAAGAATTCAGACTCCTCAGTTACAGAGAAGGCCATTTTCACAACTGCTGAGATAACCTCTTATGATCAGTAAAACTATCCACAACCTCTCACACTAACACAATGACTAACACAGGAGTAATTACATCTTGAGTTCTATACTGTAAACCAGACCAGGTCCATACACTGACTCTGTAGGGGTCAGGAAGGAATTCCCCAACATCCCAGCCCTGGAACGAACAAGGGGATGTTGGTCTCCCTTCTGAAGCATGAGGAATTATCCACTGACAGTGTATCAGACCATAAGACTCAACAATCAGATTTGGACTGGCAAGTTGTACGCCCTGAGAAAAATCAGAGGCTAGAGGCCCGAGAACATATCAGTTTGAGAAGGAGTCTCTGAACATGTGCAGAGTGTCAGTCTGGACCAGCAAGTCAAGTCCCTCTTTTTGGCTGTCTTTTCAAAGCCCCTCAGCCCATGCCTGACACTCTTTTCCATTGTACAACAGACTTCAAAGTTGGGCCAGTGTGAAAGGTTTCTGAAAATCCCCCTTTTGGTGCCAGTGTCCATGCAGATGGAGAAGCAAAGGAACAAGGGGGCTTGCCCTTACCATAACACCAGGAAATTGAAATGGTCTCAAAGAAGACAAGGAAGAGAAGACACATGCCACTGGCTGAGTAATAATCAAACAGCTTGAAGACATAGATGCCACCCTGAGAAGACACGGCAAAAGGCGGGAGGACTAGTTATCCAGTATAGCCTGGCTGAGTAACTAATGAATAAAACAGTCAATGCTATTTTCTAGCTATGCTGGTTCTGGATGTCAATTTTCTTGGAGTAGGGAGGCCAACAGAATGACGTCAGCCCATTAGAATCTAATTCCTGTCATCTTGATAGATGTGCTTGGGAATGGGGCCAAAGAGCAGGCATTCAGGCCTGCAGAGTGGGGAGAGAAAGAGAGAGAAGCTGGGCTCTTAAATGACTGGCTCCCCTCTCCCCTCCCAATCTTAGATGAAATCACTTGCTAAATTAATCACTTTTGCCCTTCCTACTCTACTGCAGATGTTTATGCTGACATGCCCCTGCTGGAACTCATTCATTATGAAGTCACACAATGGGAGGCCCAAATAGGGCCCTCCCTTCACTGCCACTGAACTGGAGCCTCTGCTTCATACACAGGGAACCTGGGCCTCAGTGCTACTGCTTTAGGGCTCCAAAAGTCCTTACATGCCTTGGGTCATCTCAACCTTCTGCTATAAGCAAAAGCATCCTGTAAGGATGTGCCATCCTCCGCAGCATAGCAGGTTTCTTCTGTGGACCCAGAGGTCCTCCTCTTAGTACTTGCTATCATGAGGTAGCAACAAAAAGGCACCAAGAATGAAGGTTAGGGGTGGAAGAATAAACACAGCCATAAGTACCTGGGTGATATTGGAGAATCCGATGAGGTAGGAGATGAAACAGATGACAGCAATGAAAATCTTCTTCCTAGCTCTCAGAACATGGGGATACTCATCCATGAGAGCTGTGATAAACCCTTCCACAGTGCAAAACTGCAGAAGGAAACATCCCAAAATACAATTGGCACCTTCTGCATCTTGTAAGAATGCTTCTTCTTCCTCCCTCCTCCCCCACCCGCAGGCCTTCTCCTCCTCCTTCTCTGAACGCAACACCCCTATGACTTGATTTGTTTCACACTGCTCCTGCTGCCCTGGGGGCTGGAAACTGCGGATGAACACCTCTGCAGTCCTCAATTCCTTTAAGAGCTCTTACACATAGGACTGGGGCTTGTGGCATTGTGATCACTTCAGGCTTAAGGTACTTACAAGAGACCTACTTTAGCTTGAGTCAGGCTCTACTTGGTTTTGTACAAAGGCAGCAGGAGGTCTGCAGTGCCCTGTTCAAACTCTTTGTCTGGGCAGCTCAGCTCTGAAAGGAACAGTCCCCGTATGACAGCATTGAAGAGTTAATGTGCTGAAACCTGGTGCTTGTGTGTCAAAACTTGTTCCTTCTACTTGGCTGCAGGAATCAGCACAGGTTGAAGTGTTCTGCAGGACTGACAGTCAGAAAAGCATGGACTGGAGTGATGTGAAAGAATGATGCGTGTCAGGGAAAAGGAGCGGAGCTGGTGTGGAAAGTGAGGGGGAAGGAGGCTCAGAGGAAGAAATGGGTATGCCAAGCTATGGCAGAGATGGATAGGGGAGACGAGGAGGGCAGGAGAAACCACCAGCACTCAAAGGCTTGGCTATTAGGTGTCTTGGACAAAAGGGTAAATGGAAAGGGTGACAGAGCAAAGGGGAGGTGAAGGAAAGGGCCTTGGAAGCCACTTCAGATTAGGAAACAGGTATTAGAAAGACCCTTTGGTACAGAAAAGCAGGGGAAATGGGCATAGGAAATCACTGGAGTAGGAACATGTGAGAGAAGGGAATGGGGAGAGGAGCAGGGTGATGGGGACAGCAAGGCTGAAGTGGTAGAAACAAATTAGTCACACCTCTCCACATCCTAACCAGGCTGTGTGATACATGGAATACATGGGAAGAAATAGTCCAGTTATATGAGGCTGCTTGGTTCAGTTCATACAAAATGGTAATTAATTTCATGCCATTCACTGAAAGGGACATAATGTTTAATTTCTCTAGCACACAGGAATGATCTAGTTGGCTGGAGTACTGGGCTGGAAACCAGGATGCCCTGCATTCTGATCTGGACACACACTTGCTGCGTAACCTAGACAAGCCATCGTGGTCAACATTTTCAAGCATGGATATTTCAAGTCAGACACCCACATAAAGTACTTTGGCACCGCCTGGTAAATAAAATGGGTTTCATAGGCAGTGTTGAGCACCAGCAGCTCCCACTTAACCTTTGAATAGCAGGTGGGTACAGAATCTTATATTACTTATGCTCCTTTCTCCCCTTTCCCCCTCCAGTTGCTGTGATACACTTTACTACATATGTTCACCTTTCTCACCATTATTTCTGCCTCTTTTTTGTTAGCTATGTCTTGTCCCCTCACCCTTACTCTGATGATCCTCCCTTCTCCTAAATTTCTTATTTCCATTAGATTTTTCTCTCCAATACCCCTCCCCCCACCTCTCCTTGCCCGTTTCTTACCCCTGAATTAGTTGTGAGGCCAGAGGTTCAGCCCCTGTGGTTCAGTCACTGACCACTTGGTACCCCATCTTGATCAGCAGGAACAAAAAGATTTTTCCCAGCAGCTCCAAGGCTCTGTTACTGACACTTCACTACCACATGATACAAGGAATACCCATTGACATCAGTGGAAATTACTTGCATCACACAACAAAGGAGCAGGACCCAAAGGAAGTTTAACTGTTAAAAAGAGCCATGCAGTAGAGAGACTTATGACTGGGTCTTAGTGCTCTGCAGGTCTCTGAGCTCATCTGCAAGAAATCCTCATGAATAACTGGTAAGTGGCAGCATTCATCACATGGGATAGACACAAGGTTGCAGTCACAAAGCTCCAGTAGCTCCCCTGTGGAGCAGAAGCCTGACCGGAAAACTGGTAAGCTAAAAGAAATCACTAATATGTTATGCAAGAGGGACTAGATACAGAGAGAACTAAACCCAAGATAGATCAAAGAGGGTGGAGGAGGCAGGGTTTAGGAGGGCATGGTAGGGGTGTACATCCATACAGGCCTCTTCTGCAGTTCAAGAGCTACAGATATGAATAGGAATTTGAAGTGCCTCTCCTGCCAAAAGAGGCAGGACTTAAGCAAAATAAATATGCAAAGGATGCTTTCCCCAGAGCTACAGGATAGAGGTACACCCTGTCATTTTCCCTGCTGCCCCTCAGGCTCCCATACTGAACCACACACTCACACTAGCATCTCCAAAGCCAGGCTTCCCCTGAGCCCGGGTGACAGCAGACTGAATCCCTGCTTCTACAAAGTACACAGATCTGAGGTTAGGACCTGATTCAGCACAGTGCTTATGCAAATGTTTATCTTTAAACACATGTTTAAGCACCAGGGATGCGCCAAGGAACATACTGAAAGTTAGGCACCTGCTTGGGGCTGTTCCTGAAACAGGGCTCTACTGTGCAAACTCTCCCCAGCCTCCACGGGGTTCAATTCTATTGTTAGCCCATGTACATCAACACCATATAAACCTCCACTTTAATTTCCCTCCCATGCTTGGCTGTCCCTTAGGTTTCCCTATCTTTTCTCTAGGGAACCACTCCTACCTGCTGGAATGGGTCAGAAGACTTCTGTTAATAGTGGGAGTTAACTAATGAACCCTCCCCCTCTGTGGCACCTTAACCAATATCCTGATGCAGGAGCAGTCATGGACCGGACTACAAACCATATTGCTATATGCTGTACACCAATGATACTTAATGAGAACATGCTGGATCCTAATTTCCAAATTGGAAGCCACTTTTCATTAGCGTGTCCAAACACAACATGTGCAAATCAGGCTAGCCAGGCATCTGCTACTGATGGAGGAGTTGTTACAGCATGTGCAAATGAGGCATATTTTTTACATGCAGAAGCTGGCACTACAAGGTCCACACGGTATGAGTCAATTGTAGATCCAGTTTAACCAAGCCTCCACTATGCAAACAAAAATCCTCTTAAAATGCATTTATCCATGTTTCTCCAAATGCTTGTTTTGCTTTTGATGCCTCATTCTACCCCTCCTCCAGGCACTGCTGTCCCCCAAAGAACAATCTTCTCTCTAAGGCTGATTGTCATATGGGGCTTGGAGACTTTCAAATGACATTTGAGAAGCAAACTGTAATAAATGAATTCCACGCAGTGCTTATAAGGCTTATTGTCATGTATCCAGCTATTTGCCGGAGCTGAGTGAGTAATCCATGGAGAATAATTCTTTCAATGAATTTAGCTGATTTGGGAACATTTAGTCATTATTTGAAATTATTTGCCAGATAATGTCTGCAATAACTCTGGTGCTCCTGAGCTGTCCGGTGGGAGCATTCAGTAATTGAAACTGTAGCTTTGCAGATTAGATTCGATCGGACACAAAGTGGGACACTTGTGAAAGATGCCTATGCCTGATTATGAATTACATTTGATGTGATTGATGGTTTTTGTGACCCAGTAGATCACCCATGCTATAGGGCAGGAATTTGTCATATAATGCAGAGACTATCTGGCAAGGATATGAGAAGCCATGACAAAGCAGTCAAATACCATCATCACTGAATTAATCTCTCCTCCTCAGAAACCAAGCCTTTGCTATGAAAGATTCATAGATTCATAGTTGTTAAGGGCTGGAAGGGACCTCACAGATCATTGGGTCCATCCCCCCCGCTCTCGGCAGGAAGACAACTGGGGCCAAGTGACACCAGCGAGATGACTGTCCAGTCTCCTTTTGAAAATCTCCAGGGTAGGGACTGCACCTCTTGACTCTTGGCTGAATGGCCTGTCTTCACAGAAACTTGCCTTGGTAAGAGAAAGGGCTAGAATCCTCCCAGGTTAAGTTCAAAGGTGGAAAGGCTTTGTTTTCTCCACAAGATCCAAAAGCTGGTAGCCTTCATAAAAGGTACTTTTTAAACAAACAAAGTCATTTTATTTCCCAAAATAAAAGACAAGGCTAGACCCAAACCTCAGCTGCAAACTCAAGCCAAACCAGGGATTTGAGGGGCCTCAGGGAGCTTGTTGCTTTCCACAGAAGTACTCCCATTTGCTTTTTAAGGATAAAAGGTTTGTATTTAAGAAATTCCTTTGCAACGCCATAAAGGGATAAAAGAAACCAGAACTCCCACTTCCAAGTGGTCTCTGTGGGGCATGTGTCCAAACAAGTGGGGACTCAGGAAAGTTGTGCCACTGGATCCAGAATCTAGGCAGCCAGACTACAGGTCCTGTCGCCCAAGGAATGGGTAAGATGTAGTACCACAGCGATCCAGAGCTAGAAGCAGTGACCAGTAGCTTGTGGGACTCAGCAGCTGAATCCGATCACAAAATGCCATCCCCTAGGACCATGGGGCTGTATCAGAAGTGACACAAGATTCTCTATAATTTCTGCCTGTTCTTTTCCTCTGCCCTGTCCATAAAGGAAAATAGGGGCAAACAAAGGAAGCTCATGTGGGCACAGATAAGCATCAAACAGGCATGAAATGAAGCATTTCATTTTGATCTTCCCCACCATAAAATAGGAACAAAGTAACAAATACTGATATTTTCTCACAGAAAATGTAATTTTGTGGAAATCACATTTTCTGCCAAAAATATTTTGATGGGAAGTTTCTAGTTGGGTGTATTCAGCCCCCATTCACCTTCCACAACAGCAGTGCCCCAATGAAGAAGTTGATTCCAGCAATAATGAGACAGGCTTCACCCCTAATAGCAGCACAAAAGGGTCATGAGCATTTATCAGATCTGAAAACAGATTTGAAGGGAAACCAAAGGCATCTATACACATACTTGGGGGAGGAGGGTGGGGATGCTTTAATTAGAGCAGCTCCAAGAGCTGCTCTAATTACAGAGCCCAGAGCATTTCATGTATCACAGTCCCCACACTTCAAAATGGTGGTAGGGATGCTTTATCTAAAGCTCATTCAACAAGCTTAAAAGCCCGGGGACACTGATACACAAGGCACAGAGGGTGCCCAGAGCTCAGTAACTACCACACTCTGGTAGACTCGATTAATCAAATCAGGTCCAGCGCCCTGTAATTAAAGCGTGTCGGAGCAGCCTCCACACTTGTGTATAGGCACCCTAAATTTCTGAGAAGCCTCTGACCAGAAAATGGGATCCTCCATTTTCTGACTCACTCATTTTGTTGGTATACAAAAGATTGGTCATTACTGTGATTATTATTGTTGATTTGTATCAGGCTCAGGCAGTGATCAGGCACTATTTTTGCTTGGCATGCCTAATGTATAGCATGGAGTTGGTCCTTGTCTCAGAGTCCATATAGCTAGAACTCATCAGGAAACAGCATATCACTATATAAATATCTAATTATATGGATGAGATTCACATCAATAGGTGATCCAGCCTCAGAAGGCTCACTCTAGAAATGGGCCTCACTTAAGCACAGTGGGAGGTTACCCAACATAGTCATATGGCTCATGAGGGGTAAAAAAAAAAATGGCTCCCAGTGGATTTTCCCCATGTGGATATGTTTTGCTTTTGAGCGTGAGAAATCAGCCAACATGGCTCTGTCTATGAACAGTGGAGGACTGATAATCTCCTAACTGATCATAGATGGTGGAAGATGGGGCTGCTCTTACCAAATCATCTCTTTGTTTCTTACCGCACTTTTCCCCTGGGTGTTTTCTCACCTGGCTGTCCAGACCTAACATCATTAGCATAGAGAAGAAGAGAATTGACCAGAGAGGAGACATAGGCAACTGTGTAACAACCTGCGGGTAGGCAAGAAAAGCCAGTCCTGGACCTAGAGTAATGAAACACAATGAACAGTCTATGTCTGTAAAGCATTTTGACAGCAAGATAAGTCAGAGCAAGTATTATGATTAAACAGAGAGACTACAGCAGCAAAGAACTGCCAGTAGTTAATATGAACTCCATAAAAAAAATCTCTGCTCCTCCTTGCCTGGGACATACCCAAGGTATACGAAGCATCTCAAAGAGGAAGGGTGAAGGACTGTCAACATGCATTAGCTCTTTCCCTCCCCCTGAAGAAGAATGCTATGGCTTTACCTTACACAACAGAACTAGAGAGCTGGAACTGGAGAAACTATTTCTGATTTTTTTGTTATTAAAAATGTTCATTTTGTTGAAATCAAAACTTTCTGTGAGAATATGACATCAATTCAAATTCATTTTGGGAAAGCAACCAGTCAAGCCATTGAAAGATCAAAACTGGAATTTGGACTTTAAAAGGTTGGAATTTCCCACAAAAAAAAAAAAAGAAGTTTTGAGGTTTGATCATCTCTGCAAAATCTCATCAGAACTTAGGTGCTACAAAGGAATAGTACTGTAGCAAACCAAGCACTGTAAGTCTTCCTTTAAGTATATCAATAAGGAAACTAGGATGACATAAAAAAAGCACAGAAGACTCTTAGTTTAGTTGGAAGTCACAGTGCAATAAACACTTGAGTCCATCAGGAATAAACTTCCTGAGCTATTCTGGAACAAGCACTTTTCCATCTGCATTAGCCATACCAAAAGCCTCACTACCAGTCTCCTGAGCATCCAGTACCCAAAGCTCTCAGCAAAGTGAGTTACACACTTGAACATAAGTCAGGAAAGCTCTGTCAAAGTTATATGCCAACTGGCACATACATTATTACAAATAATTATATTTGGGACATTTGAAAAATGTTTTTCTTTTTCTGGGTAACTTCAACTAAGTTCATGGGCCAGATCTTCAGTAGTTCAAATGTACACCAGGGTAACTTCATAAATCTTCCTGAATTATGAAAAAGAAGGGCACAAACAGGAGAAGTAGTTTGTCCAAGCTCAAAGAGCAGGTCAATGGCAGAGATGGAAATGAGAGTGAGTTTTCCTGATTTGCAAGCCAGGGCCTTATCTACTGGGTAACAATACAGGCAACATCTACTTACCTGAAGATGCCAGCTCAGCAATTGACTTCTTGGTGATGTGAGACATGAAACCAACAATAGAGAAAATAACAAATCCTGCAAATATGCTGGTGGTGGAATTTATACAGCAGACAATGATGGAGTCTCTGAAAAAGAGAAATAGATGTGAGAAAACCATCTTCATTTCTGTTCCCATCAGTTGATTAGAACAGAATAACAGTTGGGTTCTCAGATGAAGCTGGAAATGAGGCATAAGGATGAACATGAGAAGTGTCATATTAGCTCAGACCAATGGTCCATCTTGCCCAATATCCTGTCTCTGACAGTGGCAAGTGGTCAGTGCTTTAAAGGGGGAGTACACATGCAGAGCATGTCTCACGGATGGATCTAGGATTTTGAAGAGTTGTGCAGATGGTATGGTGCATCATCACATATACCATGACACATTTTTTCTCTAGTTAAAGAGAAACTACAAGCTTTATAAATATGCCAGGGGGGCAGCACTACATCATTCAATTTAAGATCAAAGCAAAAGCAAATACAATTTTATTAGCATGTTCACTAATTTGCTAGATTATCTATTAAGTGTTAATAAATACGAAAAACTAGGCAAAAATGGTCAAAATAGTCAAAAGACATTGTGTCATTAGTCCTGTAGTCATTATAGTAAAATGTACATTTCTTATTCAAATTCACAAAATGTAGTCTTCTTGAGTGTCTTGACAGAATTTCCAGCACTTTACTGTCAGTCATTTCTACACCTAAGTTAATATTACTACATCTGAGTTAAAGTTTTTATCTAGGACTAAAAACAGCCTGCAGGACTATGAAATACAAGAGAAAATATAATAGAAGAGCCATTACCAAGAATGGCTAACAGACAGCAATATTGCAGAAGAAAAGACAGTTTGAATAGTGGAACATCAGGACCATTAAAATGGAGAGAGGGTGGTTAACACCTGTGGAATGAAGAGACCTTAGTGTGAATCAGATTAATGATAATGAGCCATGAAGTCCATTGCCCCTGCACCTTCTAGGCAGTCAGTTTTAACATGTAGAGCAGGAATCAAAAGGAGGTACAATTGCATCACTGCACCCCCAAGGATCCACCCCTGGCATGTCTAGTGTAATTCAACCCATGTCTCACACTCCCTGGCTTTGACCATCATTGCTTTAGGGATGTCAAAGGCAGTAGGGTATCTAAAGCAGGGCAACTGGGGCACTGGCCCTGGGCATCAACTTAAAGGGCAGAAAAAATAACAGCTGCCACCACAGCTGTGTGATTGCATTGGCAGCTGGAAGTTATCAATACTCGGGTGCTGCATCACCACTGCCTTGGGTGCCCAGCTGCCACAACCACCTGTGGCAATGCATTTCACAAATGAACTATGTACTGAGTAAGAAAGCACTTCTTCCTCTTGTTTGTTTTAAACCTCTCTCCTGTGAATCTCAGTGGGCATCTCCCTGCTCTTGTATTCTGGGACTTTGTGAATAACAGTTCCCTGTTCACTTTATCTACGCCACCATGGTTTCATAGAAGTCTGCCGTATCCCACCTCATCCTTCTCATTTCCCACCTGAAGAGTCCTAGACTTTTAAAGCTTCCCCTGGTATAGCAGCTGATCAATACCCCGATCATCTTTGTTGCCCTTCTCTGTCTTTTTTCTAATTCCACTACATGCTTTCCAAGATGTGCAGACCAGAACTGCATGCAGAATTCAAGATGTGGGTGCAGAGGCGGTGCAAATCAGCTGGGAGCCTGCGGTAGCTGCAATGAATGGAGGTAGTGGTGACTTCCAGCTGCTGCCATGATGCTGGCAGGATTGTGCAACTGCAGCAGCAGCTGCTATTTTTCCACACCCTGACCTTCAAGTCTGTGCCTGGGGCTGCAGTCTTGGTTGCCCCAGTTTAGCTACAATGTTGTGTGAGTGCGCCATAGATTTATACAGTAGACAAGTGAGAGAGGTCAAAGTGGTGAAGGACAGAGGTGCAGTACATGACTTGTAAGTGTGCCATTGCCAGAAGATGAACAGATATTAAGATCAAAGGTGAGGTCTTAGTTGCATGTTGATAGACTGCAGAGTGCAGGGTCAGATACTAATGGGCCAGACTGTGAACACTTTACTCTTACTGGTAGTGGATGCTCATGGGAGTAGATTCAGAGGCTTCACTGGAATTGCTCCTATGACTCAAGTAGTCACCAGGGTAAGGCAGAAGTTCAAAATATGTTTCTACATGTTCTCCTACTTGCAGAGGCATTTGAAGAATGATGTGTTTAACACACCTGTAGACATTGTTGTGAAAGGTGTTATAGCTTCCCAGGGCAATCAGAGACCCTAGGCCCAGTCCATAGGAGAAAAAGATCTGCGTGGCTGCATCCATCCAGACCTGCAAAGGAGAGGCAGGCTTAGTTTATACTATTGCCTGTTTAACCCCATCTCCCAATCAAAGTTCCTGCATCTGCTTAGAAAAAAAGGTCATCATGTCTATGACACTTTTCTGTGGAAATGCTGAAGGTCATTTGGTCAAAAACCTTTTTACAAGGAATTAAAGAACAAACTACACCGATGTACTCCAGAGATGAGTATCCAGTATAAAGGGCTGTGGTGCTTTGCCAAACTGATTTCTGCTCTGATGGAGCTGGGACAGAAGAGCCAGCTGCAGAAAGACTCCCACATGGCTACTTAGCTCCCACAGCACCAAAAGTAAATAGAAGTTTGTGCTGAAAATGGGGCCACATCAAAACCTAGTTTGTTCAGATTATAGCAGTCCCACATCCTGGGGATGTCTGTAGTCTCCAGCCCAAGCCTTCCTCGTGTCTGACACAGGTCATGAGAAGGCTTCAAAGGGTTTCACATGGAGGTTCATTTCTCATAAGCACCCCAGAAGGGGCTGTTTTACCCAAACCTATCAAACCTCCTGGGCCAGCCAAATGGAAGTCTTACTAGAATGGTCTTTTGTATTTTATTTCCTTTACGACCTGTTTCTTGTGAACCAGAAACACCAGAAAAATCAGAGGTATCCCTGAGGTATTGTGCCTTGGGAAAACCATGCTGGACAGTTGGAGGGGCAGGGAGAGGGCAGAGGAGGGAGGTCCTGCTGAGCACCGGAGGGAAGGGGATGCTGAGAGTGGGTGTGGGAGGGGAGGTGCTGCTGAGTGCCAGAGGGGTGATGGGGACCAAGAGCCAGGTGGGGAGCAAGTACAGGTGTCTTACCTGATCTGGGGACTCAAAAAAGTCCCCAGCTGCTGCTGCTGGGGTATGGTCTGCCCACCTCGGTTGTTACTCCTACAACAGCTGTGAAGTGACCATCCACCCACCTGCTGCTATCCAGGCGTGGACTCCCTGGGAGAGGCACCATTTTGGCACCCCCCACTAAGTTTGCATCCAGGGTTTCTGCCCTGCTCAGCCATCCCAAGTTATACTGTACTACTGAAAGGAAAGTTTTTCTCTCCATAGGTCAGAAAAACGTCTGTTTCCACGTCTGTTTCCAGTGGTAGCAAAAGGTCAGAAAACCAGACACATGGAGAGGAAAAGCAATGGGGATGATTGTTAAGGACTGTATTTTTTTTAAGATTCAAGCTTCAGTAGCATATGCATGAATGGGCATAGGTGCATGCAACGCAGAACACTTAAGTGAACCTCAGGGAGACATGTTGCCTCCTGGCAACACAGCATCGCCTGCATCTCCCCTCTACCTGGCAAGAATACAAGTTGCTCCTTCGCAGAGGTGGACAAAGTGAGCACTCTCCTTCACAGCCAGCCCAACAACATTGGTTAACAAAGAGGGTGAAACAGTGGAACATGGCATTTGCCTCTCACAGTTCGCTCTGGGGCTCCTACCAGTCCAAGGGTAACAGCGGGAACCAACCTCTGGGTTTAAAAGAGACTGATAAAACAGGAAGCCCTTGTACACCCTCCTCAGCTGGCAAAAACACCAAGGGCACAGACTGAAGAGCAGCTGCCTGTTGTAACTCATAGCACTTCGCAGGAAGTGCTACAAGTTGAAAAAGTCCCCTGGACCCAAAAAAAGTTTGCTGTTGGGTCTGGGAGTTGGGGTTTCCAGCTGCTTGCTGTGATCCTGCAACCTGGTTTCCATAGCAATGTATGCCACTCCACCCTGCCACCCCAGACGCTGTTTTCACAATGGGAGGGGAGAAGGCAACAGAGGTAGCTTGTTCTTGAGAGTCCACAGTCGGCACTGGAGAGCCCCATCCTCCAGCTCGCTGAAAGGACCTCCAAACCAAATTTCCTCTACTCCCTTTCCCCCATCCCTTTCTGAGAATAGTGACAGGCTTGGAGCTCCGCAGACACAAGTTACAGAACATGTGCTGTTTTGAAGTGTGTTCATCTGAACCCTCATGCAATAGTTCAGATTTTCACAGGATTGGGCCCTTATAAAGCAATCTGCAGCCATGCGCTTCTGTTTGGTCAGAGCTGTAGACCACCTTCTGGGGTTAGATCAAGCAAAAATTGTCACTTCTGTCTGCACCCCCAGAGCCTGGTGCAACATGATTTTCAAAGAGCGTCCAAGAATATTTGAAAGGACTTTGCCTTAGGTTTAGGTCCTTGAAATAGGCAAAGACTAGAGTGGGGTAGGGCAGGAGGTGAGATATACTGCACCATTTCCTTTACCTCTTAAGGTAAACCAATGCAGGGAGGGTTTACAGAACATCAGTACTTGCAGCAAGGTTACCAAAACTCACGTTTTATCGCAAGACTCCCTGTATTTGGTGCTTTACTTAGAGTCCCACTCCTCAAGTCACCTGCTTATATGAGTTTCTTTTTATAAAAAAGCTGCCTTGCAGCTGACATGGTTGCAAAAAAAAGCTTTAAAATATACAGGTAGTTCCAGGGTATTTAATTGTTCACAGCCAAAAAGGTTTTTTTAAAAAAAAAAAGCAGAACAAATTGGGTTTTGTTTTTTAATTGCCTGATGCTTAAAATTATCTTTTATTTTCTTGGGACCCTCCCCCTCATGGTTTTGGAATAGTTGGGGGTGGCTGTAATGTTATAGCGGAGCGTCTCCTACAAAAAAGGGATCACAGGAACTCTCAGTAAAGCAAGACTGTCACCACTTGAATGTGACTGGCAATCTCACAGACCTCTAAGTTACTTTATAACATAGAGACAGTGTTGGTTGAGAAATTTTGCCTCTACAAGCATCCCTGCTTCTCCTGGGACTCTGCTGTGCTTCCACATATTAAGGCAATGTTACATGGCTATCACTTGTCATTTAAACCCTTCCACCAAAAATAACAGTGACACCTATTGCTGAACTGGTACCAGTCCCAAATTACACAGACCAACAGCACTCGGCTCCATTGCCTCCTCCTCCAGAGACTGTTAGCTAGCCAAAATGGTCACCCTTAGAATAACTAGTGTGATGGGGCATTCCTGCCACTTCCTCATTAATAAAGCAGAGCCTTAGCTGGTATAACTGAGCTGATATCACTCTGTGAATAACATTGCAGGACTTCAGTAGAGCTAGAAAGATTTATACCACCTGTCCCTAGTTTTGTTACAAACTGGAAAAGGTGTAGCATCTGGGATTCTAAGGCTAACATGGGAAGCTTTTCTGGTGCCCTTTCCTTGAAATGTTCTGACAGTGTCAGGGAACAATATTATAGCGGTGATAGTGCTGTCAGAGCTTTAAGAATTGGGGTACAACCTCAGACTTAGAGAGCTTGCTGAAGTCCGGTGTCAGGTAAAAGAGGATTCCCTCCTTGGCTCCTGGCAGAGTGACGCCACGGAAGAAAAGAATAAACAACATGAGGTAAGGATAGGTGGCTGAAAAGTATACAACCTAAAGAGAGATGGAGAGAAAGATGTCAGCAGTTAGCGACACACTAACTGCCAGCAGGTGCAGCTACTGTGAAGTTGACTAATTAGCTCTGTAGAAAAGTGTCATTGTCTACACGTGTGTTGGTATGAGGGTACAGTAAATTAATTAATTCTGTCATAGGATACAGTACTCTCCTATGGCAGAGTAATTGTGTGTGCTGAAACACATGTGAAGACGGTGACAGGGGCTGGCTGGACACGAAGGGCATTTTTACATATGCAAGCACCGCTGCGCCGGGCGCTTTGAAAAGCACCCGGTGCTGTGATGCTTGTAGTTGTATAAGTGGCAAAATGCACGTCAGCGCTGAGAAAATAGCAGCGACATGCTTTTGAACTAACACACTTAGAAGGTGCTTTAGTTCAAAAGAGCACCGCCACCATTTTCTGCGTGCTGACATGCATTTCGCCACTTGTGCAACTGCATGAAACACAGCATAGGGGCAGATCTCCAGCACATCACAGGACCAAAAAGTATGTGTATAAATGCCCAAGGGTGTTTTATAAAGTGCAGGGGCTGTCTGCCACATGGCTCCATACTTTAGCACTCTTGTGTCCCAGCCAGCCCCTCCACCACCTGGCACTGCCACCTGGAGCCCGGGGCTGATGCCCCTGAACCTGCTGGTGGCCCCGGGCTGCTCCACCCCCACTCAGACTGCTGCAGTCCCGGGCACACGTGTAGGCCAACTCTGGTGTTAACCATGCCAGAGTTTATTGCTCTGCATTAACTGAACATGTAGATGCACCCAATGTTATAGCAGTTACTACAGTCTCCTATGTATTGTGAGTTTATTTACATTCATTTGTATCCATATAGGAAAAGAAGGCTGGTAGCCCAGAAAAGAAATAATCTCCATAGACATTACACAGAAGGCTCATGCCTCATGTAAGAAGTAGCTGACTTCCCCCTGCCCCCCATCCCTGTGTTATGTTACTACTTAGGTAATATTTCTGAATATTTAGGGTTTTTTCTATTAATGGCATGGAAGGACTGACTGATCACAAAAATATTGAGATAAACTAATTCCTGGTGAAACTGCAGTGAAAGCAATTCAATTCCATGTGTGATGAATTTGATCCACAGAAATAGGAAATGTAACCAACTGAAGTAATCTTGCCCTTATTTTCTATCACTTTACCTAGACTTATTTTATTAAAATGCTTCAACAGTCCTAATTTCCTCGATTCCAGCACTGTGACACTAGTTTACAATCTAAGGTAGTTTACCATAAGGAAGTTTTTTCCTGTTATTTAACCTAGATTACTCTTTTCTTGTCATTGCATTACTCCAAGTTGTACCCTAAAATATATTTATCAGGACCACTATTTTCATAAACTGAGTAATTTCATGGATTTGTCCTTTCATTCTACTAGTCTGAAATGTTAAACAATAGCAATAGCTGGCAAATATAATATGTTTCTGTTCTGAGGGTCATCCACCAAGACCTAAAGTGGTAGATGACGATTTTCAGAAGAGACTAGTGATTTCAGATGCTCAATTTGCAACATCTTAAAAGGGCAATTTTCAGAGAGGAGGTATTCGGGAGTGGGCCATAGGCCTTTTTAATATGTCTCAAGTTGGGCATCAAACGTAATTTTTGAAAATCTTTGTCTGAGTCCGTCAAAGATCTGACAGTTCAATATTCAGCCCTGTGACTCTATCGTTGTAGAGTGCTCTCTATGTTTAGAATGAAAATTACTGCAAACATGGTGGCAATTTTTATAACTATGAAAGGTAAATGTCAAGAATTTAATGGCACTTGCTGCAATTCTGCCTTGAAACACAGTTACCCTAATTACAGGCACTCAAATAAAATTGAGTCTGGAGGACATTTCAAAGGACAGCAATAAAAAGCAACACTGTAATGCAAGATTATTGTAAAGTACCTTCCCTGTCCACTCTACACCTTTCCAGATGGAAAAATAGACAAGAACCCATGCTAGAGCAAGTGTTCCAGCAAGGGGCCAGCGAATGCTACCTGGCTCCCCCAGGCCTCCAGAAATCTGGTGCATGTTCCTTCTGCAAAACAAAAGATGTTACATTTTTTAAAGTACAATCCACAAGGAACAAAGGGTTTGAAATTGCAGGGGTGGGCAGGGGGCACAAAGGGGGTAAAGGAGCAAGCCCAGACATGGGCAGGGAGTGCAAAGGC